TTTTCCTATCTCTGCCTTGCAGATAGCTGGGACGATAAGCCTGAGCCACTGTGCCAAAACTAAGGGCTTTTAAATGAAGGAAAAATATCCATGGAAGTTTGGCAAGGATGAGAGAGAAAGAGAGAGAGATGAACAAAGTATGACCTTGAAGTTTCAAGCTCTTGGAATAAGGGTAAGTGAGCCATAGTTAGAAATACAGATATAAGAATGAGAAAGGAGTTTGGTGAGAACATGGACTGAGACATTGGAATGGTTGGACTGCACTTGAAGGAGGTGGTCATTGAAACAACAGTAGTGGTTGAGATATTGAGGGAGAGAAGAGAAAGAAAACTATGACCACAGAGCTAGGATCACTGCCTCATTAGAAATATAGAAAGGGGAAGAGATAGAAGCACAGCCAGAGAAGGAAAAAAACAAGGATGGGGAGTATTTCTACGTGGGTACATTAACATGGAGGTCAAGAGAAATAAAAGAAGACGGGTTTAGCAAGATATTGGCATATTTGGACAGGAGATGTGGCTCAAGGGTAGAGCACCTGCTTTGCAAGCATGAAGCGTTGAGTTCAAAGCTCAGTCCCACACACAAAAAGACTTGTATAAAATATTGATATATTTGAAGAATGATTTTTCTCAAATGAAAGCTAGAGACTTATAGAGAGAGTGAGTAGTCAGGAAACAGAGCTCTGACCCTTAGAAAAGTCCCAACCACTATAAACACAGACAAGGTAAACCCATTAAGTCATTATCTGAGATCATGCACATATGAAATTATTTGTGTGTAAATCATTCATATTACTTTTTCTTTAATCCATCACCATATTATATAGATACATGCATGAGTCCAGGATTTACAAGCTTCTAAGTGGAATGCACACTTGATGTAAGATATACTCCTATTTTGTCTTTTTGCAAAACCTTAAAAGAATTTCCTTTGTTACATTTTCTCTGACCTGTGCACAGTTTTGCTATTGATATCATTTTGCTATTTTAATTGTTGGTTGCTAAGTGTAAGAAGCTGTTTTTTTTTTTAGATGTTACTCCATCTATAATTCCAATGCTATGGAGAACTAATGGTGCTGCGAAAGAATCTGCCTGAGCAAAAGACCATCCTTTGACTGGGAATAATGGCCAGATTGGGTCACATGCCATTCAGCGATGCCAGGTCGAAAGAATCCTTCAAGAGCAGCCTTGTCAACAGGAAATGATGTTCATGTTACATTCTACCATGGACATGGTAGATTTTATTTACTCTGGATGAGTATTTGACAAGATTCTATTTAATGACTTCTAAAGATAAAATATATTAAAATGAGTATTTCCTTTTTAAAAGAAACCTGTAAATGTGCCTGAAAATATGAATGAAATGTGGACATTAGAGTGTTTACAATTCCAGTTTTTCCTATTAAACCAGAGAAATGTTCACTGTTTTCTATCCACCCTCTTGTAGCAGCATGGAGGAATCAAGGCTGGCTCGCCAGTGTTACGCTTCAATGACCCTGTAGGGGAGGGTGTAATGTTGATATATGTTGGTGTATATAACTTACCCTGAGAATGAATTGGCTGCAGACTCTTGGGACTAGAAAAGGTAGGGGGAGAGTCTAGTCTTTCAGCAATAAAGAAATAAAGGTTTATAGTAAATGAGGATAAATAAGAAGTTATTTGATGTTTACAGAGCGCTGGCTTACTTCTGTCCAAGTTGTACTACTTTGAGCCTGAGAAGTTTAGACCTGTAAAATGAGAATAGTATTTTATGGTAGTGTTGTTATGAGGGTAAAATATGAAGCCAAAGGTAAAGCAATTGCCCTGAGTGCTCAATATGTGATGCCTATTAGGACCTTCACACAAACGCTCTTTTCCACAGCATTTGTTGAGGAGGAATGTACTTGACTTGTTGGAATTCTTCAAATTCCATTGAAGGAATTTGGAGAATATGCAGATAAGGTGTGTATAAGTTGGACTTTCTTGTTTCTACAACAAATGCTTGAGAGGAACAACTTCAGGGAGGAAAGATTCATTTTGACTTACAGTTTCAGAGGTGTCAGTTCTTCATGGTGGGGACAGTGTGGCACAGCAGAGCAACTCACATCATAGTGGCCAGGAAGCAGAGAGAGAAAATGCCCATGTTATCTGGCTTTCTCCTTTTCCCCTGTTATTCCATTTGAGCCCCCAGTCAATGAAATGGTGCCATCCACATTCAGGGTGAGTCTTTCCACCTTTATAGAAATGCTCTCACAGACACACGTAGGGGTGTGCTTTACTAACCTCCTATGTGCATCTCAATTCAATCAGGTTCACAATCAAGTTGAAAGTTTATAAACCTATTGGGGTCTTTTTTTAAGAGAGGAAGAAAATAGGAGAAAGAATACTCTGGATCCTTCTTCAGACACGCAGCTCCACAATGATCTGCAAGCTCCTGTTGCTTCAGTGGGACATAGAGTAGCATTTGTTCTTCTAGTTGGAGACATTCTTTTTTTTTTTTTTAAAGAGAATAATATATTTATGCGAAGAACCCATTTACATTAAATCATGCTTTTATAATAGCTTTAAAAAGTAACACAACATCATGACAAAACAATATAATATGTAGAGTCAGAAGATAAATGACAGGAACTTCAAAATCTTGATATGGTCACTGGTGGGTTACACAATTGTGTATGCTTATCACACCTTGTTGAACTGTGTCCTCAAAAGGGTAATTCTGCTGTACAGAAATGAAGCACTGATTTTTTTTTTTTTTGAGACAAGGTCTCACCACATAACCCATGCTGGCCTTGAATTTGTCAGCCTCCTGCCTTGACCTCCTGACTACTAAGAGTACAGACAAACGCCACCAAACCCAGCTTGATAACAGTGCTTTTTAAAATGGAAGAAAGGTTATTAATACAGCAGGAAAAGGAATTAAGCTCCTGTTGCTTCAGTGGGACATAGAATAGCATTTGTTCTTCTAGTTGGAGACATTCTTGAGTTTAGTCTGCCAACCACAGGCCTCTACTACCCATCTGGGTTGTGCTATCTTTCCATGGCTGCAAAAAAAATACCTTACATAACTAACTTAAAAAGAGAAAGGATTAATTTTGGCTCAGGATTTCAGTTCATGGTTGTTTTGCCCCATAACTTTGGGCCTATGGCAAGGCAGAGCATCATGTGAGGAGTGTGTGGTAGAGCAAAGCTGCTCACTTCATGATGTCGAGAAAGGAGAGAGAGAGAGAGAGAGAGAGAAAGAGAGAGTGAGAGTAGAGGCTAGGATCCTAATAAAACTATCAAAATTACACCCTGAATGGCCTTTCTTCCTCCAAGTTGGACTTACCTCTTAAAGTTTCCACTACCTCCCAGTAGCACCATCAGCTGGGGACCAAGCTTTCAATACATGGGCTCTTAGAGGACAATTAAGGTTCAAACCATAACATGGGTTTCCTGTGCTCCTTGCTCCATGTGATCCCAGACAATGTTCCTTTTCTCTCCCTAAATGCCATTTCAGGAGAGCTCATTTCTTTGGGACTTCTCTGCTCTCTTCCAGCACCTCACCTGTCTAGAGGATGACATCACCTCAGGTAACACTTTGGCATTAGGGCTACTACAGTTGATAAAAAAAGTTAAAGCATGGAGAGAGATTTGATCTGACTATGTGAAAGTAACACAGGTTTCAGGCAGTTACATTTTCCTCTCATTTGTACCTAGTTGCTTTGTATGACTGTCATGAGCTGACCTGATTCAGTTGAACCTACACGATGATGTCTGTGTGTGCATTTGGCTTTGATGACTGTCAGCATTAATGTTTGCAATAAAAAAAGCTTTATTGTTTTATGGGGATGACATAATCTTTCCCTGACAGTTTCAGTTTCAATCCCATGTTAGAGTCTACATCCCAAGTTTACCCCAGGAAAAAATATCACACACACACACACACACACACACACACACACACGGTGGTGGTAGTTTTGAACTGAGGGCCTCATGCTTGCTAGGCAAGTGCTCTACCACTTAAGCCATGTCTCTGGCACTTTTTGCTTTAGTTTATTTTTTAGATAGGGTCTTGTATTTTTGCCTGGGCCAGCCTTGGACAGGGATTCTTCTACTTCTACCTCTTGAAGAGAGGGGATTATAGGATATACCACCATGCCTGGCCTGAGACTATATATATTTTAATACTTCTCTGGAGCAGTGGATTGTCCTTTTGTGTGTGTCAGTTAGGATCTTTAAAAAATTTTCTTGTTAATTGTTTATACATTTATTCATATATGTACATGTTGTTTGAGCCATCTTCTTCCCCCTGCTCCCTGCTCCCCTCCCCCCACCCAGTTAAGGATCTTATTAACACTAACAGTGGTTTCTCCAGAAAAATTCACGTAATTGTATATCCTGCATACAGTGTTAGGGTATTTATAAATCCTTGATCCCCTTAATATGAAAGGAAGAACTCCAATTCTGGGAGACTTTATTTCTGGGTTGTTTTCATGTGTTTGTAGACACCAACCTTTTGGACAACTGAACAATTGTAACAAATGATTATTCAGTGTTTACAGTGTTCTCTGCTATACTGTCATAATGACAAGGAGGATGATTTCCAGCTTGTATGTGTGTGTGTGTAAGTGTGATTTTTCTCCAACTTCTTAGCTAATCATGATAGTTGGGCAAAAGGAAATGAAGGAGTAGTAGATATGACTGTAAAGTACCCACCATGTTAGGCACTGCATAGAGCATATGAAGCTCTCAGAACACTTGTTTTGAGAAGAAAGTCATGTGTGGATGAAGAGATAGGAACAAGATGATTTTATTTAGAATGATTTAATAGCACTGAAATAGTTAAAACTTGGCTTCCTTGGTGGTGAAGGGTGGAATGGGAGAGGAAGATACATTTGAATTCTTAGAACTAACTTGACAGGAAGGATGATAAGAAAGCTCTGAGTCATCGTTCTACTCTTACACGAGCAATTTGAGAGCTATCAGGAAAGTGAGTTTATGACATAATAAATACAACAGAAAACTGGCTCTTAGGTTATGTAGCACTCTATTTGATATCCAGTTTGTGCTCATGTTGGACATGTGGCAGGAAAAGCACAATCCACTTCGCCCTGTTGGTGGAGTGAAACTCCATGGGATGCAGGACCCAACAGAAGCCAGGAACTTGCAGTAACATGTCAGGCTCCTGTTCATAAGATACTGCATAGACAGCCCTTCAAAATTTCTGCAATTTCTTTTATCTGGGTGAGTGTATTTCCTTTCTCCTTGTAGAAGCATTTGTAAGGATTCATGTTAACAAACCAAGTGAAAAAAAACCTAACAATCCTTTGATGGCTTTTGAGTGCCTTGTAGAATGTGCGACAATTACTTAGATCTCCCCCATTTTTCTCTGCCCCCAGTCTTCCAAAGAGTAAGAACTGATAGTTCAAAAGGACACTTGGATTTTAGAAATGAGCAGAACTGGGAAGACAAAAGGGGCTGCGGGAACACAGAGATCCAGACAATGTTACTTATAAACCTTTGGAATCTTGAAGAAAAAAGGTCAAAGTGATAATACATCTTGTAATGTGCAGAACAGAAATGCAAAATAAAACTACATCCTTTAAGAATAATAACTTGTTAAAAATCTAACTTGTTAGGTCCTAAATAGAATGGCCTAGCACTTACTTTGAATTGGGCCACTAAACACTGACTCAGTAGGGCAGGGAATTTACAACACACATTCCCAGAATTGAAAAGGTTCCCTCAGCCAGTCTTCTGCTTCTGGAAAGCCCTAATAGATATCAACAGGGGTGTTAATCATTTCCTTACCAGGCAATCTTAGTCACAAGTTCCTGCTAAGAGTGAAATCACCCCCTCTGGTTTAAATACAGTTAAAAACTTTCTACTCAGTGCACATTACAATTTCTCCCTTCCATTTCAAAGACATGGAAATTTGTGGGGCAATTCTTTTTACAGCTCTCTTTCCATTACTTTCTCCTGCAAGCTGGGGTTTATCTGATTGTGTGGTGGATGGAAACTTCAAGATAATATTCAATGTCCAAAGATTGAGTCAAGTTTACACTGGCTATTGCCACGAAGAGGGTAAGTGAATGAACATTTTTGCTGTTCTTGTGTTTATTTTCTCTTACAAGATTTTATACATCACAAAGTACTCAAGGCATAATCTACCAACTAGAGTTACATGTCTAAATCTATTTACGTGGATCATTGTGTCGAAGTGATCATAAGTCAAAACCAAGAAATTGCTGGGGTTGTGGCTCAGAGGTAGAGTGCTCACCTAGCATGTGTGAAGCCCTAGGTTTGATCCCTAGCAACACACACACACACATACACACACATCACACACATGTACACAACCCTAAGAAATCAAAACACACAGTGAGGCATATATGACAAAATTGTTTCAGTTTCTTGAGAAAATGTTTTTCTTAATGAAGCAGCATGCTTTCTTAATTGAACTATGATTGAAATGTCATTCTCATTGTTGTAATGTTGGAAAATTCAGCAAATGGACTGAAGGCAATTTCATCTGAACAAAAAGACATAAATCATTTTGATTATTGGAAATAGCCAAGCTGGAATCCATATGGGACATCTGGAGGCAGGTTTCAGATGTCAAATAATTCTGGTTCTAATCATTTGACTAGATGATTGTTTCCTTTTTCCTGAAATCTATTTGAAATAGTCATGACAGTTTTATATTTGAACTCTATATCAATATTTTAATTATTTCCTTCCCTGAAAAGCAAAATGATATTTGAGTATAACAGAAGGACTTCCATTAGAAACATATTGACTCCTGTTTTTTTTCTTATCTTGATATGTAGCCCAGGCTAGCCTTGAACCTGTTATGTAGCACAAGATGGCCTTGAACTTGTGATCCTCCTGCTTCCATCTCCCAACTACTGGAATTACAGGTGTGTACCATAACGCCTGGCAGACTCTTTTCTTGCTGAAATCGTGATAATGCTTTATTTCCATAGAAACTGAGTTTTTTATTCCTTGAAGCCTAGCATAGACCAGGCACACAGAAGACTTCCTGCAAATAGCTACTGGTTATTTATTCATTTTCTTAAAAAAAAAAAAAAAACCTCTGCATTTCTCTTAGTGGATAGATATTTCCAAGTCATTTGTATAAAATCTTATTCATAAGCTGAGTGTGGTGGTACATACCTGTAATTCCAGCACTCAGGAGGCTGAGGAAGGAGGATTACAAGTTTGAGGCCAGCCTGGGATACATAGACATAGAGAGACTCTAGAAGAGGAAATCAGGACACTCAGCATCAGTGAACTCTGCTCAACGCTCACGATGGCCGAAGAGTCAATGCACTGGCTTTATGAGCCTCCAGGGCCAAAGGGTGGGCCTTAATTAGGCTGAGTGGACTGAGTCGGGGAGAGCTGGACCCCCATATAAAAATCAGGGTGTTGCCATAACTTTTTGTATCAGGAGCATACACCTGGTGGTTAAATACTAATGTCAAACCCACAGGCAGATGATAATTTCATTTTCTTCTTTTCTATTTTCCCTAAGACAAATAGATTCAAACTTGAGTAAGCAACAGTTGTAAAGACACTTGAAGCTGTGCCTTGGCAGAGTAGATTTTCGATAAATACTGTTTCTGCTGATTTGATTTAAAGGAGGAAAAGAGAGTCAGGCAGCAGTTGCTTACGCCTGTAATCCTAGCTACTCAGGAGGCAGAGATCAGGAGAATGGTGGTTTGAGGCTAGCTGGGCAAAATAGTTATTGAGAACCTATCTTGAAAAATACTCTTTCCAAAAAAGGGCTGGTGGAGTGGCTGAAGGTGTAGGCCCTGAGTTCAAACCCCAGTACCAAAAAAAAAAAAAAAAAGAGAGAGAGAACAGGAATAGGTAAGGTCTATTGTGTTCTAGGCATCATATTCAGCTCTCGCTACATATGAGTATCTAGTTTAATCTTCATAGTAGGAAAAATACTTGCCAGGCATAATGGTGCACAACTGTAATTCCAGCTGTTCAGAAGGCAGAGGTTCAGAGGATTGCAGTTCAAGGCTAGCCTAGAACTTATGGAGAACCCCATGTCAACTTTAATCCCAGCTATGTGAGAGGGGGAGATAGGAGTTATCACAGTCCAAGACATGAGAGCATGAGGCATTATCCGAAAAAATAACTAAAGCACAAAAGGTTTGGGTGTAGCTGCCTAGCAGGTACAAAGCCCTGAGTTCAAACTCCAGTTCTGCCAAGAAACAAACAAATGAACGAATGCTCCATTGACAGTGAGGAAGTGGAGGCTCAAGAGAGCCAAGTAACTTGCTGTAAAGCCAACTAATGAGTAAAACACATCTGTTGGGCTCCAAGTGATAAGCTCGTCCACAACTCTGCAATGTCACAGCAGAGATGAGTTTAAAAGCAAACCCAGTGTTGGCTGGAGCAAATAGGTTTCCCTGACTGAAGAACAGGGTATGGAGAGGGCGCAAAGTCTGTCCTGAAGAATGGACAGAAGTAGCATCACCCAGAGCATGGGTGGGAAAGAGGCCATGGGTCACATCCAACTTCTCCTGTTTCTGTAAATACAGTGTTCTTGGACCACAGACATGTTTGCTTGCCTATCCTCTATGGATGCTTTTGTACTATAATGGCTCAGTCAAGTGGCTGCAGGAGATCCTATCTGACATATAGAGACTAAAATGTTTACTGTCTAGCTTATCACAGCAAATTTGTTAACCTTTGACAGTTTACCGTTTTTTTTTTTTGAGAGTCAGAGTCTCACAATGTAGCCCAGGCTGGCCTTGAACTCTCAATCTTACTGCCTCAGCCTCTTGCGTGCTGGGATCAGATATAAGTACCACCAAGCCCAGTGAGAATTCATATTTTTTATATGATCCACTGTTCTGAGGAAGTAAGAGATTACCTTATTAATCTTGGACTGATAATTATTATGAGCACGTGTGTAGGATTCTCCCAAGAATGCACATTTTCATTTAGTCAGTAAATATTTATTGAGCATTTATGATATGCTGGTCACTATGAGCTCATAGTTGACTAAGAAGATAAAAGAAAACAATTGTGATACAGTGTAATAAATTCTACACTAAGCTGGGTGATAGTGGCTCACACCTGTAATCCTAGCTACTTAAGAGACTGAGATTGGGAGGATCAAGTTTTGAGGCCAACCTGGGAAAATAGTTCTTGAGATCCCGTTTCCAAAATAACCAGAGCAGAGTGAACTGGAGGCATGGCTCATGTGGTAAAGAGTGCTGTGAAGTCCTGAGTTCCAACCCCAGTCCCCCCCCAAAAAAAAAACAAAAACAAAACAAACAAACAAACTACAGTGAGAAACAGGGCACTAAAATACAACTTCTCTCTGTGTTTCTAGACTACATAAGGGCAGAATTTGGTTTTGCTTGTCATGATGGGCTCAGTCCCTGGCAGGGTGCCCAGCAGGCAGGAGGGAATCATAAAGTATTTGATGAATAAAGAAACAAATCAGTGAATGTGGTAGAGGCAAGCAAAGCATGCAGGGAAATGAACATGACCTGAGCTTCCACTCAATGAAGTTGGGTTGTGCAGCTGTAGAGGTGGAAGAATGAAAGGTGGAAGGCTGGACCGGAGGAGGCCTGCACAGAGGAACGGGTTGTCTAGTAGTTCAGTTGACCCACTTGGACCTGTCCTAGGCTGGGAAGAAAGAAGACCGGGAGCCTCAGCTGTGCTGAGTGGGAGATTCAGTGTGAGAACTGATGTAGAAAATTTACTCAGTTTCTGACTCAGACACCCCCAGAAGCTTCCTATAAGATAAAAACCAAGGCTGCAGGGGAAAACCTTCTAGTCCTCTGCACTTTGTTTCCTGCTGGTTGAATCTCACTCCTTTACTTGGCTCCCACCTCTAGTTTTACGCATCAGAATGGGGCTTTCTTCCACCTCGGCCCTTTAAAAAGACATGTCCCTTCCTTGGGATGCCCACTCCCCTCTCTTTAATCTGTGTCACTCATTATGTAAGATCCAAAGCAACTGTAGCCTTCTGATAGGCTTTTCCCATCCACACTGCTCCTTGCCTGTATCTTTGTGTGAATTCCATCAGCCATGACCTTGATCTTCTTTCTTGCTCTTATATTGAGAATTAGTGTCACCTCAGTGTATTTGAATATTTCATGGGATGATGCTTTGTATCAGCCATCACATTGTAGGTTCCAGGAAACAGGGATCATCAGACGTTTACTTCAATCCTTAATACTTGTGTACACTTAATATTTGAGAATACTTAAGTACTTATTGAACAAGGAAATGATTGAGTCAGATGAATAAAAACATGAGGTTGAAATGAAAGTGCTAAGAGAGGAAGTTGGAAAAGATGCTAATACGACGGGGAAAAGAATAGTTTGTGCTTACAGGTATTTTCAAAAAGCTCAGGTTTTAAGTTTTGAGGAAAGATATTCAAATTTATCATAAGTTAAAAGCGGGTACTCAGATAAGGAGTTAATCGACTTCTCTGTTTAGAGCATTTTGTCATCATTGATCTGTGCAAATCCCCCTCTTGTGTTTATGAATTCATAAGTTCATTTGTTGTACTCCCTTTTATCCCTGTGCCCTGTTCTCATTCTCCTCTTCTCCTGCAGCAGTCATTCCAGTGTGGGTAACATAGAGCCTCTGTGTATATGTGTTTTTGTAAAACCTGTTGTGTTAGTCAGTTTTCTGTCACTATAACAAAATATGGAGACAATCAACTTATAAAGAAAAAATGTTTATTTTGACTCCCAGTTTTGGAAGTTCCAGTCTGTGATCAGTTGGCCTGATTGCTTTGGACCTCTGACAATACAGCACAACATTGCAGGATTTGTGGTAGGACAAAACTGTTCATCTCACAGACGAAGAGGAAGAGACGATGATCCCACAGTCACTGCAAGTTTATGTTTCCCATGAGCTAAGGATCTCTCACCCCACCTTGTAAAGATTCCACCAGTTCCCAATAGCACCACTCTAGGGACCAAGTCTTTAACACATGGGCCTTTGAGGGAACAGTCAAGAGTCAAAATATAGCACTTGTACTTTTGAGCATATGTTTAAACAATTACTTACAAATGTGGTAATATAATATGGATCATACCTGTTTCTATTTTTTTTCCACTAAGCAGTAAGGTTTTTAAGGCTTATACCTATGGCTGTGGAATAGATTTCTTCTTTCTAATTGTCACATTTTACCTATTTATGCTTTTAGTAATGGGACCAATATTGCCTCCAGCTCCCTGAAACACAAGCTATGCTGAACATCCTCACATTATTCCCTCATCTATCTGGTGTGAGAATGTATCTGGGATGTATGTATCTGAGAATGGCGCTGCTGGACCAAGTGTATATGTCTATCTCATTTGATTAAGAAGTGCCATATTTCCTGGCTGCCTGGTAGAAAGCAATAGTTCATGAACAGATGCACACTCTGACCAGTGTACACAGTGCTTAGAGTCACCAGTTTAACACTTAGTCCTAATTAACACTCAGAGTCACCAGGTTCCTAATCTTTGATGGTCTGATTTAAAAGGGATATTGAATTGTTGTTTTAATTGGTGCCATTGTTTCCCAATAAGTTTGAAAATCTTTATTTTGTGGTACTGGGGTTTGAACTCAAGGCCTGCACTTGAGCCACTCCTTCAGTCCTTTTTCTGTGTGTGATGAGTTTTTTCGAGATAGAGCGTTGTGAACTAATTGCCCAGGCTGGCTTCGAACTGTGATCTTCATGATCTCTGCCTCCTGAGTTTCTAGGAATACAGATGTAAACCACTGACACCCAGCAAGTTTGAAAATCTTAATCTTTCCACTTCTTCTGTAAATTGCTTGTTTGTAAATCTTTCTTCACTTTTCTAAAGGAATTCTTGTCTTTTTATTACAATTAACTGCTTATAAGACTTTCAAACGAAGGAAATGAATGCATGTAATACTGAATTACTTTATGCCACTTAAGTACCTTTCACTTTTTTATTAAAAAATTCTTTCTGATTTTGATTTTTTGTGTTTGTTTTTCCCCAAATCCCCACATATGAATAGAAGGCAAAACAACCAGAAAATAACATTTACAACAAAACTATGTTGACCTTCAGTGTCTGAGATGACAGGCAAGGAGACTGGAAGTCATTATTCCTGACACCACCATAAAAAGACCTAACAAACCAAAAGGCAACAACTTTTCTCAGAATAAATGCCAATCTTATCTTATGTCTGCAATGCTAGTTACTTGTGAGTAGAGATTAGGAGGATCATAGTTTGAGGCCAGAGGGGCAAAAAGTTCTCCAGATCCCATCTCAGCCAACAGAAAACTGGGCACGGGGCAAGTGCCTGTCATCCCAGCTACATGGGAGTTGTTTATTCCCAGGCTGGTCTAAGCATAAACAAAAGACCCTATTTAAAAAAATAATTAAAACAAAAATGACTTGGATCATGGCTCAAGTGCTGGAGTGCCTGCTTAGCAATATTGAGGCCCTGTGCTCAAACCCCAGTACTGCCACCAAAATGAATAAATAAATAAATAAATAAATAAATAAATAAATAAATAAAAGGAGTAACTTCTAAAACTGAAAATCAAAGGGAGAAAAGAATCCAAAAGATGGAACAATATATTAAAGAATGACAGGATATTTACAAAATATGTAAATTCATGTAATAGGAATACCAGAAGAAGAGGAAAAAGAATATGAGAAACCTTTGAAGCACTTATATGTATTAAAGTGAACTTATAAAAATTAGTGATAAATTCCAAACCACAGATCCGGGAAGTTCCAAAAACATCAAGCAATATAAACAGCAAACTAAGTGACACGTTGGCTCTAGGAAACCCTCAATCAAACCAGTGGGGAGATATCACCCATAATCACAGACTGTGGTGTGATCGACTGGTGGTAGTTCCTCTAGAAGCTTGAGGAGGGATCCTCAACTTTGTAAGGTGAGGGTTTGGAGTGACAGCGTTGGCAAGGTAGGGGAGTGGTAGCTGTCAGACCTGAAACTGATCCTAGGCCTGACCACAGGAATTCAGCTGAGCAGTGGCCAGGCTGTCCTGAAGCACCTTTTGGTGCTGGAGGGACGTGGACTGTGAGGACCCTTGGATGTGGGGTTCATCCTCACTGACCATCTGCTAATTCTGACACAACTGTGCTCCCTGGCATCCAGACAGACTGGGGCCACCTCCTGTCCCTGCCTGTTTTGGCGTAATGGGGTCTTGTCTTCTCTCCTTACATTCTTACACTATTCCACCCTACAACCTTGCGCCCTCAGTGCAAGCAGAGAATTTGAAGAGGTCACAAGGACTGGAAATAACTCTTGGCAGGCTACTTCCCCTGTCTTGCTATGGGGCACTGTTCAGCCTCCACCTCTGGGTTTGTTCATCTCTCAGCTTGTACCCAAATCTAGCTCACCTCTTCCCTTCTCCAGCTGTCTGGGTTCTGGGAACAATCCTCCCTGTCATTGGTTTCCAGAACCTGCTAGTGTTCCCTACTGACTTTCTGACCTCTTCTGTCCTTCCTTTATTGCTAAGAACTGTGCTCTTGCCTGTGGCCTAGGCCATGGCACTGTGTGTCCTGACTACAGAGAAGTCATTGACTCTGTGACCCTCCCCATACTTCTCCTAACAAGGATCACTCCCCACTGCTGGATCTCATTCATTCATCATCCGGCTATGTTTCTGGGACCCCAGTAATATTGGGCATCTTGGGCCAGCCTGTTAGAAAGGAAGGATATCTGATTGCTGGTCTGGCAGATGAAATGCCTGAGGCAGCTCCCAGATGCACCAAAGTGTCCTGTTCTCCTCCCAGAATAGTGACATATGGCTATTCTCAGAACCTGATTTTTCCCCATATCTCTGGGAAATGACACTGTATATTTCAACTTTATTTGGAAATAATTTTTAAAAAAATTATATAAATGCAGATCAGTTTAAATCATGACTAACGGTGACTTGCTGTGATGTCCCTTAGACTTAGGGAAATCTGGGCTCTAAGGCTTCCAATGTTGTACAGCTCCCTCTACTTACCCTGTCCAGAGTGAGGACAAACAGAATGCCACAGGGAGGAGACTCTGAGCTTGGAAACCCCTCACTAAGCCCTCTCTGGGTCCCACATCTGCAGCCTAGCCTGCCTGCTGCCACCTCCTACTCTTTCTTAGTTGGCTGGGGTAGTACAAGGAGACAATGGGGGTGGGAAGAACTTTCAAGAAATATCTGGATGCAGCTGTCAATATAGAGGCAGAGAAGTAAAAGGAACATTTTGACTATACCCCAAAATGTGCAATGAGCAAAATCTCCATAGGTCAAATGGCCTGGGTGATACAACAAAAAAAAAGTGTGAGAAAGGAAAGAAATGAAAGGAGAACCTACACAATAAAAGAGATACAAAGGAGAGATTTCAATCCCTTCCTACGAAAGCGAGGGATTTATGTTTGGTTAAGAAAATCATAAAGAAATAGGGGAGGCTGGGTGCTGATGGCTCATGCCTGTAATCCTAGCTATTTAGGAGGCAGAAATCAGGAGGATCACAGTTTGAAGTGAGACCCTATCTTGAAAATTACTCAAGTAGTGAGAGCAACTTCCTAGCAAATGTGAGGCCCTGAGTTCAAACCCTAGTACTACCAAAAACAATACAAGGAGAGTAAGAGGAAATGACTACTATCAAAGCCAAGGTAGTGGCTACTTTTGAAACACTATGCATAGGATGTAACACACGGAGGAGCTTCTGAGGGTTTGCAACAGTTTATTTCTTGGCCTATTAGGTGTTCACGAAGACAATTTATCTTATAAGATTTTTCTATATCTCTATTTAGTTTCGAAATAAAAAGATGAAAACATTCATAAATAATAGAAGTATCACCCATAATATTTCTACATGGTAAACTATTAAGAGTATATATGTGTATAAAATTCTACCTGATTTTATAATCATAATTGCTAGAATTAGAATACCATGTACATCTTTTGCTTTTTGCCCCTTTCACTAAATATTTTATTTTGTAGGTTATTCTGTATCACATAGGGTGAAACTGGATCAAAGTTACAAAGTTAGTGCCTAATTCTAATTTATAATCAAATTCTTTAACCTGTGAATGGCAGTTTGAATGAGCAGGCACCTGTCTAAGAAAACAGTCAGTAGATGTTTCAAGGCAGAGATTCCATTCAGATAGATTTTGAAGGTACACATTCCTCATAAAGTTTAAAACTTACCTTATCCTTTTTTTTCCCCATCGTAGTTTTCAGCTTAAACAAATTTGCTCACTTTTTGATTCAGACAAGATTACTGAGGGAAGGGTGGATTCTAGGGCTACCAAAGTGCTTTTTCAGCATATCTCTCAATGAACTCTTGGAGATAGTTTATGGCAAATGTTAAAACAACACATTGGTGACTAACCTTTGTCCTTCTCTGTTGATAACAGCCTGATCATGGTAATAACTAGGATTAAAGAGGCTTCCACCACCTTTAAACTATAATCCTGGGCTAGTAAATATTTTCTGAGCACCAAATTATATTATGTTTTATTCATTTATTTTTTTAAATAACAACTTGGTCAAGTGTTTTAACTACTTTTTGTTTTCATTTACTATTTCTTACTCTTTTGGTCACTTGAGCAGTATTTGTTGATTACTTACCACAGAGTCAGCAGTGCTCAGTGTTCTGGGGTATGAAGGAAAGAAATGGAAAGCATAACACTTACCATCTTGGGAAAATCAAGATATGCTCTGATGCAGCTAGAAAGCAATATTATATGGTGCTCTGTGTCTGAGGCTATGCAAAACACGTATGTTATACACACATACATGCATACATGCTAATGGCGTGGTATAGAAAATTGGGAACATGAGGAGTGTGGAGACTGTATGCAAGGTCAGGAAGTCAAAGCATCTGAAAATGATGTGGCTCTGATCATTAGACAAGACTGTGCTGCAGAAAGTCCTGGAGCTGACTTTTTTCTTTTTCTTTTGAAATAACTATAGACATACAGGAACTAACAAAAATAGTACAAAGGGAGGTCCTGTGGGCCTCTCTCCCAGCTTTCTCTATTGGTAACATCCTACATCG